CACCTCTGGCTGCCACTCTGAAGACCAGCAATTTTTTTTTTTTAAAGATTTTATTTATGTATTTGAGAGAGAGAGAATGAGAGACAGAGAGCATGAGAGGGGGGAGGGTCAGAGGGAGAAGCAGACCCCTTGCTGAGCAGAGAGCCCGATGCGGGACTCAATCCCGGGCCTCCAGGATCATGACCTGAGCCGAAGGCAGTCGTTTAACCAACTGAGCCACCCAGGCGCCCCAAGACCAGCAATTTTTTAAAAAAGATTTTATTTATTTATTTGAGAGAGAGAGAGAAAGCACAAGCACAGGGAGCAGCAGAAGCAGGCCCTCCGCGAAGCAAGAGCCCAACTCGGGAGCCACCCAGCCTCCCCAAAGACCAGAAATTCTTTAAGGTTACTTTCCTGGGGACGCCTGGGTGGCTCAGTCGATAAGCGTCTGCCTTCGGCTCAGGTCATGATCCCAGAGTCCTGGGATCGAGTCCCGAGTCGGGCTCCCTGCTCAGTGAGGAGCCTGCTTCTCCCTCTCCCTCTGCTGCTCCCCCTGCTTGTGCTCTCTCTCTCTCTGACAAATAAATAAATAAAAATCTTAAAAAAAAATTACTTTTCTGTTTGTCCTGATGAGTGTCTCCCCAATTCCTTTTCTTTGTATTAGTTGAAGAGCATTGGTTTGAGGTAAAACTGAGGGCCACTTGCTCAGGTTGCTGGTTGCTTCTGAATTAACAAAAGTTTTTACACCCAAACACACAAAACCTTACAGTAAAATCCAACACAGAAGTCAGCAGTTCTTACCATTTTGACCCTGCTCTCATGGTAGTAGGGGAATATGAAACAGGCCACAGGAGAAAGTCTAATGAGGAAGAATTCCCTTGGCAACCTCTATCATCAAAATATTTGAATTTGTCCTCCCAAAATGAGGACCCTTAGTGATCTTTAGTAGCTCTGGAGGAATTTGATTTATCTGAAGAATAAAACTAGGTTAAAAAAAATTTTTTTTTTTTCCAAAAGAAAAGAGAGTATCAGACAGCCAAGTCACTGGAGACCAACAGAAACACTGAGGTCTGAGGCAGGAGAACATTCTCAGAAGGAACTCTTGGGTGTGAAGAAAACAGCGACCACAAAGAAAAGATCAACTCAGCCCTGCAGCCTCAAAAAGGAGGGCAAACCAAGGGGAATTCTGAGGGTGAGATGTATAACGGATTGAGAAACTTCATCATAAAAGTGACTGAATTTGAAGATATCAAGGGGAGGTAAGGCAGAGAAAACTAAATCAAAAGAAGCTACGCTTTTCTGCACAGAGAAAGCACACAATTTTTTGGAAAGACCCAAACGTCATGAGGAAAGGGTTATTATTATTGTTTGTTCTTTCCTATCACAGCAGCCTAGCTGGAAAGCGATAGAGTCAGCTAGAAAAACACAATGCAGCCTTCTGTTCTAGGGGAAATGGAAACAAAAAAAGAGGTCCAAGGTTGCCTCCTTCTTACCCACTCTGGAGGCACATTTTTATACCATTGTTGGACTTTGCGGTTTTCTTCTGGTTGCCATGGCATCGGAGAGACAAATGCCTTGCTTCCATTTTAAAGCTGAGTTCTCTTATAAACAAGATTGTTTCCCTTTGAGATAGTCTCACCCTCATGCTCCACCAAAACTGCTTTCAAAAGAACGTATCTTTTTAAAATATAGATGAAATTCATCGCATCCTTCTGATGACAGGGGGAAAAAAAACCACATTTTTCTTTTAAAAAATTAGAAAGTGCAGAAAAATATTTTTTTAAATGAAATAGAATTGCCCTATGAGCTCTTGGCCTACAGATGATCAATAATTCACATTTTGGCATATTCATTTCAGGTCTTTCCTCTACGTGTGCATATATATATATTTATTTTATATTATATGGTATATAATTGCCGCCCTGTTATGTATATAGTTGTGCAAGTTGTTTTTTCTTTATATCCTATAGAGGCACTCTCCTGAAGCAGGGATAGAAAACCCAGATAGGTCCTTATAGACCTTTAACATTTTCTTCATTTGAATCCTACATATTGTTATCAAAGGAGAATTTAATAAGACAGCAGTTTGGCCTTTATGTCCCCATGAATCTAAAAGTTTATGAAAAGTTAGCAGCAGGGAAGCATGACTTAACGGTGTTCAGAAATGCTTGCAGTGGCCATTTGCTTTCCATTAATTCACACCACTAAAGAGGGAATACAGATAGCATCATACGTTATCCTGGGTTTGTTTGAGCAACAAAAAAATCTGAGGAGGTAACTATAAAATGTCATGATTTTTCTTTCAATAATTATATTTTCTCTACAAGTACCAGAATACTTTACAATTAGTAATTCATTAGCCCATTCATTCTTTTTTTTTTTTTTAAGATTTTATTTATTTATTTGACAGAGACAGAGACAGCGAGAGCAGGAACACAAGCAGGGGGAGTGGGAGTGGGAGAAGCAGACTCCCCGCCGAGCAGGGAGCCTGATGTGGGACTCGATCCCAGAACCCTGGGATCATGACCTGAGCCGAAGGCAGTCGCTTAACCAACTGAGCCACCCAGGCGCCCCTCATTCTTTTTTTTTTAAAGATTTTTATTTATGTATTTGAAAGAGAGAGAGAGAGAACCAACTGGGGGGAGGGGGTGGGCAGAGGGACAAGCAGACTCCCCCGCTCAGTGGGGAGCCCGACGACACCGAGGGGCTCATCCCAGGACCCTGAGATCATGACCTGAGCCGAAGTCAGTTGCTTAACCAACTGAGCCACCCAGGTGCCCCTAGCCCGTTCATTCCTGAAAAATTGAGATTACTAAGCTAGTTCCATAAGGCAGGAAACCAGACTCTGGTGTATATAAAAACACCAACAAAGACAGTGTGCTATAGCAGAAATTGCATCCCAGTTTTGCATCACACAAAAGTGGTTTCCAATCTAAGCCCGGAAATTCAGTAAATGTGTGATCTTGAACATGTTATTAAAATTCCCTAAATCTCAACTTCCTTATCTCTGATAATCTATATTGAAAAACTACCCAGCCATAGGATTACACTAAGAATTAGATGAGATGAGGGCGCCTGGGTGGCTCAGTTGGTTAAGCGACTGCCTTCGGCTCAGGTCATGATCCTGGAGTCCCGGGATCGAGTCCCGCATCGGGCTCCCTGCTCGGCAGGGAGTCTGCTTCTCCCTCTGACCCTCCCCCCTCTCATGTGCTCTCTCTCTCATTCTCTCTCTCAAATAAATAAATAAAATCTTTAAAAAAAAAAAAAAAGAATTAGATGAGATGTAATATGGGGGGGGGGATGCCTCACATCATGCCTGACACATAGTAGGTACCTGGCAACTATTGATATCCTTCTTTCAGTGGCAACCTGAGTTAAACTTAAAATTCTTCTTTGGACTTACACCATTTCTGTAAGCAATGCTGTTTATATTGTTCGTCACGTGATTAGTGATTCTATGTTGTTCTTCATTAACAACCACGCTTGGTAAATCCTACCTCCATTCTCCTCTTAGTAAAAGTTATGTAACGTAAACATTTTCTAAAGAAACTAAGAGTCAGGAAGAACAGGAATGTTCATATTTCCAACAGGTTCCTTTTTCGGAATTCCCAGCTCAGGAGAGGAAACGAGTTAATTTGTGTACCATCAAAACCAAAAGAGAAAAAAAGACTTCCCTATTCACTCTTAAGAAATCTCGTTAACTATTCTACCAGGGCTTCCAGAATCAAGATTTAAAAGAAAAGGAAAAAAAATGAAGTTTCCACACGTTTCGTATCAATAGAAGGATGTTGAAACTGTGCTGGTAAACAGGGTAAGGAAGCAAAAGCCTCATTAGAACCTAATTGTTTTATAATTAACCGTACTGGAAGCAGATGCTATCAGGGGGGTTGCTGGAAAGATTTTTGAAGATCACAAGACAAGACTAAGTTAAACCAATTATTTACTAAATCTCCTGAAAATATATAGCAGGCACCTAAAAGCATTCTCATTTTTTATTGTTGTCAGAATTGGTCTAAGTCCGGGGCACCTGGGTGGCTCAGTCGTTAAGCGTTTGCCTTTGGCTCAGGTCATGATCCCGGGGTCCTGGGATGGAGCCTCGCATCGGGCTCCCTGCTCCGCGGGAGGCCTGCTTCTCCCTCTCCCATTCCCCCTGCTTGTATTCCTTCTCTTGCTGTGTCTCTCTCTGTCAAATAAATAAATAAAATCTTAAAAAAAAAAAAAAAGAATTGGTCTAAGTCCAAATAAATAGTAGAAATGTGATTATTTTTCTCTTGGCTATTAGGTTTGTTTATTTTGCATGTTTCAATCGAGGTAACTAAAATCAAAACCACTTGTATAGGTAAATCAATGTAACATTGGAAACCAGAACAATTCACACCCTGTATTTGTATCCACCCTAAATACAAACTACCACTAATTCTACTGAGAGAGAGATGATAGAGAGATAGATAATAGTTAGATATAGCAAAATACTACTTTTGAACCATTTAAAAATGATTAGATATACATATCTGCCCTAGGCTACTAAGATAATCTATGAGCTTCTATATGTCAATGTCATTTTATGGATGAAAAAAAAAACAATGCCCAAGAAAATTTTGTGATTTGCTTAATGATCTAAAGATTTGAAAACCAAAGTTGAAGTGTTTGGATTTTCTTTCTGGGACAATGACAAGTCATGGAAAGTTTTTGATCATGAAGTTTATATTGTCACTAAGATGTCTTTGGAAGGTCATTTAGGAAGTACTTTGCAGAATAAACTGAAAGAGAGAGAAATCAGTGGCAGGGAGGGAAAAGAGAAGCCTAAATGAAATAATCCAGCAATGAGGTAATTTTCAAAAGAGTGATATGTAACAGGTTTGCTTCCACCAAAAATAGTTCAGTTTGGTTTGCTTTGCTCTCTGGTTTGGTTTGTTTTGTTTTTGTCCTCCTACCCCATTAGAAATACCTTCTCTATTGTCTCTTCTACTTTAGAGGAAATCTGGCCACTGTCCCTCCCCCTTCCTTCCCATTCTTGGGAACTCCCGCCTTGTGGTTTTTCATTCTCACTTCAGATTCCAGCCTCTGGTTCTGAAACCTCTCTGTCTGTAACTATAGGCGCGGATGTCAGGACTGTCCATAATGTGTCTTATTCACTCGTCCAATCTCTCCACTTGCCGTACATACAAGTTTGAGCCCCTCAGAGAAGCCGCCTCCATGTGCAGCTGTAGACTATGAATCCTTTGTGAGATTACCTCTCAACAAGAGAGAGACACGGGATGTCTATCATCCAGCGTTCCCAAGTAAGTCTTGACTTTTAACCCCACAAGCGCTTTCAAACTGATAATGAATTTCTTTGCAGAGAGAAATTGCAAATCCACAAAAAAGTATTTCCTTTTAAAATACCCATTCCTGAGGTTTGGGAGAGCTAGGATAGCCTGACTAGGGGTGCAAGTGTAGAGTCTGTGATTTGGGGCCTGCATTTCAGGGCCCCGTCTTCTTAGGAAGGTTACAAGGTTTTTCATTCTTTTGAGGTATGAGAATATATGGGTTTTTTTTCCCTTTTTCACTGTGAGAATATCTTCCTTCTTTGGGATACATTTTTCTATTTCAGATAAACTGAAGAAATAGGAATCTTGATGATGAAGGGAAAACATGATCATGTTTATTTTTATATGATCGATAAGTAAACTTTTATCATTGGTTTAATAAACAGGCAAGAAAATGTCACATATTTGACAAAGCTCACTAACTTTTAAAATTGAAAGATATTCTAAAGTATGTATGCTCTGATTTTCCATTTTGTATTTGAAAAAAGGAAACAGCTCTCTACCTGGTAAGGCAGTAATTCTTTGATGGACAAAGTATAATAAATTAAAGAATATCCCCAAATTTCCCCGATAAAAACCTTTGAAATACTTGGCAAATCATTCAGAGTTTAAGGATTACCCAATATAAAAAATAATCAATATTATTTTTGGACTAATATGTTTTCTATGTTCCAGGATCTAGTTAATGCACATGTCTGTTAATTTCAATATAGGGGAAAAAATATTTTTTAAACCTCTGGCACTTTCTCAAAGTGCTTATCAGATTGTTTTGAACTTCCCTATTGTCTTTATCCACCACTCAACTCTAAGTTCAGGAGGACAGGACAGCATCTGACATGTTCATTGTTTTATCAGTGACTAGAGATTGTAGGCTTCAGCAGCTATCTCTTGAATAAATTCAACAACTAACTAATCAATTCATATTTTAACAACAGGGCAGTTTTTTTAAATAAATTTGTTATGTTTTAATATCTTTAAGATTACAGACAAGTAGTGAGGATAGTACAGAGAGTTCTAGTATATCTCCCTTACCCAGTTTCAGTTTCCTTTAAATGTTACCATCTTACCATGGGACATTTCTCAAGACTAAGAAGCCAAGATTGGTACATTATTACAAAGTAAACTCTAGACTTTTTTTCAGATTTCAATCTCATTCTCCCATCAGGGTTCTTTCTCTGTTCTAGAACCCAAACCAGGGTACCACACTGTATGTAGTCATCACATCACATTAGTGCCCTCTGGTCTGTGACAGTTTCTCAGTCTTTCTTCATTTTTCATGACCTTTAGAGTTTAAAGGAGTATGTATTTTATACAGTATCCTCAAAATTGGCTTTGTCCAGCGTTTTTCTCATGATTAGACGGGGATTATGGGTTTTTGGAAAGAATGCCACAGAGGTGAAGCGCCCTTCTCATTACATCGTATCAAGGGTATGTGATTTGCACCTGACATTGGTGGTGATAACCTTGATCACATGGTTACAGTAGGGTTTGCCAGGTTTCTCTACAATAAAGTTATTATTTTTCTCATTCCTTACTCTTTCCTTTGAAAGTGAGTCCGTAAGTCCAACCACATTTAAAAAGGGGAAAAGAAAGTACTTACCTAAATTATTTGGAATTCTGCTAGAAAGATTTGTCTTTTCTTCCTTATTTACTTTTTTATTCAATCATTTATGTATATGATTATTAATATATGTATATCTCCTTTGTATTTCATAGTATAATACTATATTATGCTATTTATCTTGGGGCTCAGATTATTCTACTTTGGTCAATGTGCATTCCTTCAGTTTAGCTCCTGTCCCTTTGACACACTCAATCCTTTACTTTTTGAGCATGTCCTTACTTTTTGGTCCCATGAGATGCTCCAGGCTTGTCTTGTGTTTTCCCTGCCCAGTCCTGCAATCAACCATTTATCCAAGGACTCCTAGCTGCTTGTATAGCAAAATGACATTTAGAAACCAAGGTATGTGCACGGATGGTGCTTATGTCTCCTGGGATATCACTGCTTCTTAGACTCTTAGTGGACAAAGCTAAGTAATATATGTATGTTAACCTATATGTAGAACACATGTCTAAATTTTTTTCTATATTAACCCATCTGGGTGTATATTAAGCCCTATGTGAATTCAGACTGATGTCTTCAACTCTAATCCAGGACCATAGGATTCATTCTAGCCTTCCCCTCTTGTAACCTCCCACTCCAACAGTGAGAAATATGGCACCCACCATCCACTACCCACTTACTTTGTTCAGTATCAGTGTAAATGTAAAGCAGTTTCATAATTGTTAACCCATACCTCCTTGAAAAACAAAATCACCTAGAATACAGTATGTATATAGTTCTTTTGTCTTCACTTTTAACAGTTTTGAGCCAAAACTCCATTTTCCAACTTAGATCAGCTTTTTTTCCCCCATACACTGGTGTTGTTATGTTGTACATTTGTACTATAGTTAGAATCATTGGTCAAAGTCTGCATTCCATCTTGGGAATCTCTAATATCCTGGTGGACTTTTTTTTACAATTTGCATAGATTAAAGTTCACTATATGTGATGTGCAGTTCCATAGATTTTGAAAAACACATAAGGTTATACATCTACCATCCCAATGGCATACAGAACAGTTCTATCACCCTAAATTTTTCCTGTATATCCTCTCTGTAGTCAACAACTGCCCCCATCAGCCAACCCCTGGCAACCCTGATCTGTTTTCTGCCACTGCAGTTTTGCCTTTTCCAGAATGTGATATGAATGGAATGACACGATATGTAGCCCATGGGAGCTAGCTTCTTTCACTTGTAGAATGTGTTTTTAAGATTCATCATGTTGCTGGGTAAATCAATTGCTCATTCCTTTTTATTGCTGAGGAGTGTACTATTGAATGGATATACCACAGTTTATCCATTTTCCAGCTGAAAAACATCAGTTTTTAGTGATTATGAATAAAACTTCTATAGACATTCACAGGCAGGTTTGTGTTTGATTATAAGTCTCAATTCATTCTGACTGGTGTGAGGTGGTATCTCGGTTAGGAAATACCTAGGAGTGTAATTGCTGGGTCATCTTGTAAATCTATGTTTAGCTTTATGAGAAACTGCCAAACTATCTTCAGGGACCTTTTAAAATACTATAATATAGACTGCAGAATAAAAAACATTCTTAAACCAATTCAGCTATAAATGAGATTGTAGCATTAATAGTGTATTATCATAATTTTTAAAACCATGCTAGTTAAAAGCCTCTCTAAAAATGTCTACAATAATTCATGACTGGAGGGCCTTGGGTCAATTATTGTTCAGCTAACATTATCTGTGAATAGTGTTGCATTACTTACATACAAAAATTACCAGGTTAAAGCGCTTTTTGTCTTGAGGGTATTTGTAGCCAATGTAGGTAATTCATAATGACAAACTAATTTCAAATGAAGAATGTGGTAATTCTCTACAAAGCACATTCAAACTTCTGCAAATACTAATGAGCAACTTCTCTGTCCTACTTTAAAGCCTCATGTATCTCAAATATAAGAGCACTAGGCTATTAATTTTAAGAAAAATTAAGTGATGGTCTCTCAGAATTATTAGCAAAGCCCTTCTTTTCTATGTCATATATTTTACATGACACTCTTTCCATTGAATTTCTGGTTTAGGTAAATTGTTCCTAAAAAATTAGGAAGTTATTCTTATATCGTCCTCAATCTTCTTCAAGTTCAGCTACATACTTTCTTGGGTATTTTTCTAAATCTGTTTCCTGAAATGTAAACTAACTCGTCAGTTCTTCAAAAGGCAAGGCTGTTTCTTTCATTTTTTTACTTTTCCCTACAGCTCCAGAAAGTCTAAAGACAATTAAGTAGGCATTTTCTTTTTTTTTTTTAAGATTTTATTTTATTTATTTATTTGACAGAGAGAGAATGAGAGAGAGAGCACATGAGAGGGGGGAGGGTCAGAGGGAGAAGCAGACTCCCCGCCGAGCAGGGAGCCCGATGCGGGACTCGATCCCGGGACTCCAGGATCATGACCTGAGCCAAAGGCAGTCGCTTAACCAACTGAGCCACCCAGGCGCCCTAAGTAGGCATTTTCAACTACTCAACTGTGTAATTTATGTGCAGCCTACCTTTTGTCCTCTCATCCAAAGAGAGAACATGGAAAAAATATTAGAGTGTCAATATAAATAAAATGCATTTTTATGTTGCTATTACCTCCTCTGTCCATGAAATCATATATAGTTTCTGAACAGCTGAGCTCATTGTGGATTCATTATCCGTTTATTAAAATACATTTTCCCACTCTTGTCTTTGCCCCCCACCAGAAAAGGACAAAATGATAGAAAACCATTGTAGAGCTTATTTGTGTCTGTAAATATCATGCAGACTAAAATTTTAAAAAATTTAATGTCACCTTTACTCTTCATTCCACAACCTTATTAATAGAGATAACCTATAACCTGTATATCAAGCTATCTTCAATGTAGATCAATAAAAAGAACCAGGAGAGGTAATTCTTTCTTTGAGTTCAAGATCCAGAACCAAATTCACAGGTATGCAACCTGTGCAGACACCCAGGGCTCCACACTGACAAAGGCCCCACATTTGGTTTCATGCTCTGCTGTCTCTGTCTTGAAGTTCCTAATAACTTTTGAACAAGGGGCCCCTCGTTTTCATTTTGTACTGAACACTGAAAGTTATATAGCAGGTCCTGTCAAGATCATATCTTAACCACTAATCAAGGCATGGCAAGGGCGCTTTGTGGAACTGTGCATAGTTTTCCTTCCAACAGGATCTGTTTTTAGGGTGATAGTCTCCTAAATCAGCCAGCTTGGTTTTGCAAAGACTACAATTCTATAAATTCCTCTCCCCTTATTTGTCAGGGATGAGGATACAGTAGGGGAAAAGCAGGGAGGAGCATGATAGTCAAAAGCTTCTTTGCAGTTTTTATATAAAATGGACTTTTCTAATGGTCCAGATTAATGAAGAGGCTTCTGATTTAAGGGGCTACATCTAGTAATCTACCCTGTTCCTGGACCTAGAATCAGTGGAAATAAGGTGTGATAGATGAGATTTCCTATTAGTAGACCTGAGTGTGAATCCCTTTTTCACCACTCACTAGGTTTTTGATCTTGGATAAATTATTTAAACAATGAGGCTCAGCCATTTTTTTTTTAATTTAAAAAATAGAGATAATGACACACTGCTTTATGACTCTCTAGATTTGTTTATTTTGAACATTTCATGTAGTGGAATCATACCATATATGGTCTTTTGTGAATGGGCATTATAGAATATTTTCAGGGTTCTACCATGTTGTAGCATGCATCTGTATTTCATTTATTTTTATTGCTGAATAATACTGCATTGTATGAATATACCACGTTTTGTTTATTCATTCATTAGTTGATGAACAGTTGGAGTGTACCATATTTTGACTATTGTGAATTGCTGCTACAAACATCTACGTATAAGATTTTGTGTGAATGTGTGTTTTCATTTCTCTTGGATATATACCTCAGGTAGAATGACTGGTTCATATTGTAACTCTATGCGTAATCATTTGAGGAACTGCCAGACTGTTTTACAAAGAGGCTGTACCACTTTATATTTCCCACCATCACTGTTTGAAAATTTCAATTGCTTCACATTCTTGAAAGTACTGGTTATTATCTGACTTCTATTTCTAGGTTCTTAATGGATGTGATGTGCTATCTCATTGTATTTTTGATTTGCATTTTCTGGATGACTAATGATACTGAATATCTTCTCAAGTGTTTATTGGTTATGTGTATATATTTCCTAGAGAAATGCCTATTAAGATCCTTTGCCCATTTTTTAGTTTTTTAAAAATTCTTTTTATATTCTCAATAAAAGTCTCAAGTATTTTCTTCAAAAAAAAAAAAAAAATAGAGATAATGATACTTGTCTACAAACTTTTGTAAAATGGGAGAAGAAAACTAATATTATATGCTCAATATTATTGTGGAACCATTCCATTTCTAAAAATTGAAAATACAAACAAAAAAATCACACACACTTGGATGATCACAATTTTTTTAAGATTATTTATTTATTTATTGGGGGAGGGGCAGACAGATGCGGGAGAGAGAGAAATAAGCAGACTCCACGCTGAGTGGGAATCTCCATGTGGGGCTCCATGCAAGGGTTCCATCTCACAACCCTGAGATAATGACCTGAGCCCAAACCAAGAGTCAGGTGCTCAACCAACTGAGCTACCCAGGCGCCCCTGGATGATTATGATTTTTTTTAAGATTTTATTTACTTATTTGTCAGAGACAAAGAGAGCACAAGCAGGTGGAGTGGCAGGCAGAGCGACAAGCAGGCTCCCTGCTGAGCAAGAAGTCCAATGCAGGACTCGATCCCAGGACCCTGGGATCATGACCTGAGCTTAAGGCAGATGCTTAACCAACTGAGCCACCCAGGCATCCCTGATTGATTACAATTTTAAAGACTCCTTAAATCTCCTCCTCTTGGACCATGCTCACTTCAGGGCTCTTTTCTACTTTGTCATGTTGCCATTAAAAATTCATCACATGTATTTATATCCTAGCTGAAAAACACAAAGGAATTGAAATAGGCTCCATCACATAGGTTCCTTACACTTGGCAGACCCTTATTAAACTGTTTGGAAATAAATAAAGGAGATAGGAGGAGTGAGTCAAAAACAACCTCTATCCGTAGTTTTTTAAGAATTGGCCTACCTGTCTCATCAAAGCCCTATAAATCCACATCCCTCTCTCAGACGGATTGTTCTGGGTTTCTCCTTCTCACTAGTTAAAATAGTAAAAGTAAGAAGAGAGTTCTTTCATCTACATTTTGCTTATAAATCTTCATTTCTCCTTGGGGAAAAAAATTAGCTATTTTTGAATTCATCTTCCATTCCCAAAAACACTAAATAAAAATTTACATTTTCAATGTCTTTAAATTGAAAAAATTAGGTTAAAAATTGTTTCAGGCTGTTATCATCACTAAGTGATGTAACTAAATTCCAACAGGATGCCTTCAGAGGACATTCAATGTCAAATTTGTTCAGAGCTATTTATAATTAAGTTTCAATATGATGAAGGTCATAAGTAAACAATCAAGATGCTTTATCAAATTCCACCACCAAAACTTACCCTGCCACAGTCACTTATGCATTGAAACCTTAACTCAATGGCTTTCTTTGTATGTGCCCGGTTGTTGACATTGACCCATGAGAGGAAATCACATAAAACAAGAGACGGTCGTGCCTGGGAGTACAACCAGCCCTCTCAACCTTCCTCAAAAAGTTCAACTCACCTAAAACCAGTTAGGAGATTAGTTTGTCCTGTAAGAATCTGATTAAAGTTCTGAAGCTACAACAGACCATTTCAATCTATTTTTCAAAATTTGTTCATTTCTAATATGTCTCTGTATTACTTCTCAGAATAAAGACATCAATCCTGTTGCTTAATGAACCTGTTTTCCAATTAAAACTGTCATTGAATTTTAGATTTGGTACCTTTGAAATTATCTCATCCATCCCCTTTATTTTACAGTCTAGAAAACTGAGACCAGATAATTTAAGCAACTTGCTCAAATCTTGCAGCATGTTAATAGCAGACCTGGAGCTAGAACTTGTCTCCTGACTCCTAGGTCTACTGTCCTTTTTATTAGCAAGTGAAGCCACTTTAAAGTTTATCATACCTGTCTGTGTCTTTTGCTAAAACTGCCTCTTGCTCACTTACATCAGAACTACTCAATGTCAGAGAAGGCAGAGGCTCAAGTATGGATGTGAATCTCAGGTACAGTCAGAACAAATATTCTTGCCCACATATGAGTAAAAATTGGGAAAATCATTTTTTTTAAGTATAAAAATTTTCCCTGTGGATTTGCAGCATTTATAGGCCTGACATCAGCTGCCACAAACATGAAACAGCTCCACAAGAAAGTAATCTCCAGATGGCTACATCAAGTTGGTAAGATCTGAACTTCTTTTCCGCATGTCTTCACCATCTCATCAAGGGTCTGGATATGCATTTATTCCAGTATGTCTTGTTGTTTTGTTTTGTTTTGTGGGGGGGGGGGGGTTGTTTTTTGTGTGGTTTTTTTTGCTAAAACCAAAATACACATGGAATAGGTTTAAGATCTTCCTAGAAACCCGTAAAGCTAACCCTAGATGTAGCAGGCAAGTTGTATGACACCAGGGCCAAGGGAGCCATCCAAATGTTTAAAACACGGGGTCTCTCCCCAAAACCCTGTTATTACCATAGTACTATGCTCAGCCTACCTTGGTTCAATCTCCATCCCCATCCTTAGCTCACCACTAAAACCTTTGCAGTCTGGCCTCACATTGGAACTTGCCAGAAGGACATTCTTCTCATCTCCCTAGGCCTGTGGAATTAAAAATCTTGGGGGTGGGACCCAGCAATCTCTGTCTTCATAAGGCCTCTAGCTGAGTCTCAATCACCCTAAAGTTTGAGAACCACAGATCTAGCCTACATCCCTTTACTTTAATTAACATTGGTAACAGGAGAAAGGATGCCTGGGTGTCTCAGTCAGTTAAGCATCTGCCTTTGGCTCAAGACGTGATCTTGGGGTCTTGGGATCAAGACCCACATCTAGCCCCCGGCTCATGCTCTCTCTCTCAAATGAATAAATAAAATCTTTAAAAAAAAAAAAAACTTCAGCAACAGGAGAGAGAAGCATGAGGAAAAAGTAAGGGTTTGATGAGACTAGAAAAAGACTGTAAGGAATTCATTGAGGACTAAATACAAGTTGAACAAACAGTTCAAAAAAACTTCAAAACTTCAAAAAATTTTTTAAAACTGTCATATAATAACAAAGATTCCATTGAGTTTAGTTAACACAATATGCAAAAATTTTGCATCTTATCTTGCAGTTAAAAAGAAATAAAGAATGGGGCGCCTGGGTGGCTCAGTCGGTTGAGCGACTGCCTTCGGCTCAGGTCATGATCCTGGAGTCCTGGGATCGAGTCCCGCATCGGGCTCCCTGCTCAGCAGGGAGTCTGCTTCTCCCTCTGACCCTCCCCCCTCTCATGTGCTCTCTCTCATTCTCTCTCTCAAATAAATAAATAAAATCTTTAAAAAAAAAGAAATAAAGAATGTATGGGATGGGGAAAGACAAGAACATAGGCAAGTGTGGTAGATTTGTATTATGTCAGCTTGGCTAAATCTCCCAGAGTTCCCTTCTCTACGTAGGACTAGGTGACTTTGAAGCACAAAAGACAGCATTTGAAAGGCAAAAGAGGAGGAGCAGTCATCTTCCTTTTGTGCTGGGAAGGTCAATGTCAGGCTCAAGGTATAGCTGCAGCTCCTGGACATCATGCTTCCATGCTGTTCTCTTGGGTGGCACAGGGTAGCAGCCAAGTGAACAACTTCTCCATCTCCAGATAGATCTCCCACTTCAGCTTCTACGGATCCTGGGCCAGGTGCACGTTTAGCTCTGTGACAAAGAGTGCCAGCTTCTCTTGCAAGATATGCCCATCACCTGAGTTAAAGGGAATCAGGAAGGGACTGACTCAAGGCCATTTCAGTGTTTTTTCGCCTTCAACTGCCTCTTCTGAGAACTTCAGGCTCCATTACCAGACAAAGAAATAAAAGCTTCATGTAAATTGTGCAATCAGCTCTCACAATTGCGTGATGTCAAATCCCTAAAATAAATTCCTTTTGTGTGTTGATGTTTATATACTAAGGGATACTGAGATAGATACAGATGATATAGATGATAGGTGGATATGGACATGGATATAGATGTAGATATAGATATGGTATGGATCTGGGTATGGATGAAAATGAGGATGTGGACATGGATGAGGATGTGGCGTAGTGTGGATATGGATATGAACATAGGACACAAACATGACACAGACATAGAGAAAGATAATGGTTCTCTGATCAGATCCTAACTGATATAGATTTAGGTACCTGGAAATGGATGCTACTCTAACAAAAATTTAAAATGTGAGTGGCTTGGGGTGCCTGGGTGGCTCAGTCGTTAAGCATCTGCCTTCGGCTCAGGTCATGGTCCCAGGGTCCTGGGATCGAGCCCCGCGTCAGGCTCCCTACTCGGCGGGAAGCCTGCTTCTCCCTCTCCCACTCCCCCTGCTTGTGTTCCTTCTCTCGCTTTGTCTCTCTCTGTCAAATAAATAAATAAAATTTTAAAAATAAATAAATAATATAATAAAATAAAATAAAATGTGAGTGGCTTGAGATGGGGTGATAGACAGAAACTGGAAGGACCTTGAGAAAAATGTTTTTAAGAACCTAAAAGACTTGGAAGAGACTGCTATGAAAGCCTGATGTGCTTCAGTAAGAGTTTAAAAGATAGTGAGTGAAAATAAAATAAAATAAATAAAAATAAAAAACAGTGTCTGAATGTGTAAATAAACTGTGGTACATCCAGACAATTGAATATTATTCTATACCAAAAAGAAATGAGCTATCAAGCCATGAAAAGACATGGAGGAAATTTAAATGCATATCACTAAGTGAAAGAACCCAGTTTGAAAAGGCTACATACTTATGATTGCAACTGTATGACATTCTAGAAAAAGCAAAACTATGGAGACAGTAAAAAATCAGTGATTAGGGGGAAGGGAGGCATAAACAGAGCACAGAGGATTTTCAGGGCAGTGAAATTACACTGCATGATACTATAATGGTGGATACATGTCACCATACATTTGACAAAACCTATAGAATATACAACACCAAGAGTGAACCCTAAGGTAAACTATGAACTTTGGATGGTAATGTGTCAATGTAGGTTTGTCGATTGTAAAAAATATACCACTGTGGTGGGGGATGCTGATGGTAGGCAAGCTGTGTCTGTGTGGGTGATGAAGGAGCAGAAGGCTAACTGAGGACAAAGCACAAACTGACACCCTGCAACCTCACCCCCGCCCTCCTGGGTGGGACATGTGTGACATCTCCTCCAGGAAGCCCCCAACTGTCTTAATGTTAAATGCCTTGCTAGAGGGAAAAACAACCTTGACAATGGCAAGGCCTCCAGGATCTTGTAGGTTCTCTTTAGCATAAGAAAGTTTTTTTGAAAACCTCCCTTTTTCCTTACCTCCCCCAACCCCACAGTATATAACCAATTGCTCCTCACAACCCCAGTGCAGGACTTTCCGCCCAGGGGTCCTGTCCCCATGCTTTAATAAAACCACCTTTTTGCACCAAAGAGGTCTCAAGAATTCTTTCTCAGCCCTCGGCTCCAGACCCCACCCCACCAAACCTCACCTATATTCCAAAACTACATCATGGGGATGAAGGCCCCTGGGAACTCTACTTTCTGCACAATTTTGTTGTGAACCTAAAACTGTTCTAAAAATAAAGTCTATTTTTAAGAGAAAAAGAAAAAAAGGAAGTGTGAGAAATGTTATTGAAAGCTGGAGGAAAGCGTGTCCTTGCTATGTAGTGGCAGAAATGTTAGGAGTACTGTGGCCTGCAGTAATGGGCAAAGTAGAAAACGTATCTAATGAGCTAGAGGATCTAGCTAAGGAGATTTCCAGCAGGTTGCTACAAGTCCCACCTGGCTTCTTTTTGCTCCTTACAGTAAAATACGAGAGGAGAGATGAGCTGAAGAAAAACGTTTAAATATAAAGAAGCCAAGACTTGCTGAGTTCAAAAATGAAACTCTCCCATTCTCAGCCTTCCCAAGATTCTCAAATTAAGAAATCACTTCAGGACAAAGACCAAATCCAGTGGAGAACCATACGATCCTTTCTTAAGGCCTTAGAAAGATCTCAGGCAGTACCTAGAAAAACTACTCAGTCAGACAAAAGGTCCTCTAAGGTCTAAGACTAAGAAACACAGATTTGCTCCTTTAAGCAAAAATCCCTCCAAGACTCTTAAAGGTTATGTCTTGGTGAAAAATTGACATGACTGGTGCCATTTTAAAATAAAGTCAGAGAAACTACTATAGAGAAACTACCTTATCCACCTTTGTTTGAACTGGGCCTAAACCTTTGGACCAGGCAAAATGGCACTTGTTTTAAGCAATTGTTTGAGAAGTCAGCAGAACAGACATCCTGATCACAAGACTGATGGTTGTGGACTTTCTGAAAATAGAATCAGTGGTCAGTCGATGTATAACCCAGAGTAGCTTAGCTTGTAAACACACATAGAAAACATTTTTTTCTCTTCTTAACTTATGCAGTCCCCTGACTCTGCTTCCTTTTCCTCATAAAAACCCCTTGCTTTCTCCTGTAAGCAGGAGCACTATTTAGGTATCTAAATGAATTGTGCTCCCTGAATTGCAATCCTTTAATCCTAAGTAAACACTCATTTGCCTGTCACTGTGGCTCTTGATTTTCTGGATGACATCTCTCAGTAACCTTGTAGGAAGATCAAGGTGAAGGGGAGTCTATCTTGAAAAAATGTGTTTGTGTAGCTTCAGTCTAATAGACTGGATTATAAATCTATTCATTAAATACTCACAAAACTTTGGGGCGCCTGGGTGGCTCAGTCGTTAAGCGTCTGCCTTCGGCTCAGGTCATGATCCCAGAGTCCTGGAATCGAGCCCCGCATCGGGCTCCCTGCTCCGCGGGAAGCCTGCTTCTCCCTCTCCCACTCCCCCTGCTTGTGTTCCTTCTCTTGCTTTGTCTCTCTCTGTCAAATAAATAAATAAAATATTTTTTTAAAAAAACTCACAAAACTTTAAAAAGAATTATGTCTTCTTGGATTTAAAAGGACGGAGACAGTACAAAATGAGAGAGCTTTGAATCCCCAAACACCTTGGGCGAGAAGCAGGTTGAAAAAAACCACTCAGCTGCAAATACTAGTCATTTCATAGGAAAAAGGAAGACTCAGAAGTTAGAATCAGGAGCCCAGAGAGCAGAGGCAAGAGTCTTGGAGAATCCTTCCCAGGCAATAGAGTCGAGCCGTAATCAAGGAACTGGCAGTGTGGGCCTAGCTGGATTGTAGAATTGCCACAGACCATAGACCACTGTGTGACGCCTGTTTTCTCTCCTTTTTGAAGAGCTGGATTGCTATTATCCTATGCCTTTCCCTTAATTGTTGGATACTGGGCATTAAGGGGACGGAAAACTTGTCCCCTTAGTTCACAGGTCTTCAGATCTTGAGGAACATTATTAAGGAGCGTTACCCAGATCTGACCTAAATGATGCCGTTTTGGACTTTGAGCTGATACTGTAATAGCATGAGATTCAGGGATCTTGTGGAAGGGGATTAATAGATTTTTCAAATAGGAGAAACAGAAACCATTGGTTTCTGGTCTCAAAGATGGCCTCTGATGATAACCACCACTATCCCACCACCACCCAACTGAATTATTCCTGCCCCGGGTGACTAGTACAATATGGCAAAAGTGACAGTGTGTGACTTCTAAGACTAGGTCATAAAAAGCATTTCAGTTTCTCTCAGTTCATTCACTCTGGGGGGAAGCCAAGTATCATACAGTAGGAGACCAGAATGCACCACCTCAAAACATGTCTCCTTGGCTTCAAGATTATTTTGAGAAACAGTAAACACAAGAGAAGCTCTGAAAATGGAGTAGAAGTTATCCTTTGGTAAGGCAAATTTATATTTATAAAGAAAATCTCCATCTGTAAAGATGTCTCCCTATTTGTACCAGGAAGATCACTCTAAACCACAAAAGACTCTTATCAATGGAGAAGACACTTAAATCTACGTAATAAACCTTACACTTATTTACTGCGCTTTCCTATTCATCTTCCCATAACTGGCCTCCCCCAAACCCTTCTTCTGTTTTAGCTAAAGATGGTATTTAAACTCCAATTCTAGCCACCTCTTTGAATTACTCAACCCCAAATATTTCCCATGTATATACAAGATATACATGTTAATAAACTTGTTTATCTCTTGTTAATCTTCTTTTGTTACAGGGGTCCGAGCCTAGAACCTAGAAGGGTAGAAGGAAAAAAGATTTTTTCCTCCTCTACAATTCCAGGAGGAAACTCAAGCAGGACGAGGACCATGGGGAAAGGAACTGAAATGCCTAGCCAAGAGCTATATGAGTAAACCACCTTGGAAGTGGATCTTCCAGCCCCTGTTAAGTCTTCGGGTAACAGAGCCACACCTGACCTCTGACTACAGTATCGTGAGATACTCCTAAGTTTTTGACCCACAAAGCAATGAGAAATAATAAATGATTATTACTATTTTAACTGCCACGACATTTTGGAGTGGTTTGCCATAGATGACAAATATAGCAAGATGGGAAATGTACATCAGCAGGGGGAAGGATCCAAACATGACAGATAGCACGTCTTTGATGTGACTAACGACAGGGCCCAGACTGCGCAGGAAAGCAAATGACGCTTTGAAGGAAGGTCATGATTTTAATGGGGATGTTTAAAATGAAGTCAACATGTTCTGAGATATTCTGGCATCCCTAAGAAAGGAACTGAAATGACATAACTTCCTGTGGTTAGAAAAGTGTGGTTATAATAATAGTCATTCATTTGAAAAAAATTTTATGAGCAAATATTCTTAGTAATTTACATGTGTCTGGTCTTTGCACACTTAATTTCCCATACCTTCTGGTGTTTAATATTCACAGTAACCGTGTGAGATAGCTATTGTCAATTTAATTCCATTTTATGGATGAAGAAGCTAAGTCTTAAAAAAGTCACCTAAAGTCGCAATTAGGAAATGGCAGAGCCAGGATTGAAATTCAAGTCTTCTGATTCAGTGCATAGTTTTTGTTCCTTTGATCAAAGTTGCTCTGTGGAGAATACAGAGGAAATGGTAAGTCTTGGAAGCCCTATCCTCTCGGAATTTAAAGCTTTGTTAAGGTGAAAAGATATAAATATACAGAGTAGGTAATTAATGATAATTAGCACTTTATTCTCAGGGAAACAGAGGAACAAAGTAGATAGCAAATGCAACAGGAATTTAAAGAAAGAAAAGATGCACATGCACTAAAGAAAAGCTTCATGAAGGGCCCTGGGGTTTTAGTGGAGGAAGGGTACAATTTGGATAGTGGGAGGGGAAGAGATATTCCTTTCAAAAGCCACAGAATAAGTCAGGAGCAAAGCTTCAAATCAGAAAGCACAGCATATTCAGGGAACAGAAAGGAGACTTCTTAGATCCAACAAAAGATCTATATTAGATCCCAAAAGAACAACTAGAAAAACATTGGAAGCTGGTATGAAGAATTGAAGGTTAATACCATATACAGTGGGAACTCACTGGAGATTGCTGGACAAGGTAATGACCCATAGAAATGTCTATTCATAGATGTAAGACCTTCTTCCAACTTCTGGCATAAATACAGTCAGACCAGCTTTACCTTTCCAACTTGTTGCTAGAAACTGCATTGGCCCCAGCAGGAAGTCTAGCATCCATTTCCTAAAAATGGCATCCCATCCTAATCCTGAATTGTCTGAGAATAACAAGGGCTTTCACAGTTCAATTCAAGGGTCATTTTTTCCCTCAATGTTAGGGGAAGGAGAGAATGAAAAGGCACATCAGTCCACTAGCACCATAACTGGGCTCACCGTCAAGTCCCCGCACTGGCTAAACAGCTATCCACTGCTGAGGTGATGTCCATACTGGACCAGATGACAGTCATATCCACAATGTTTCCTTACGCTTGCATTTCAAGGCTTTTCTTCTTTGATTCTCACATGCTTCGCCATTGTCCCCAGAACACAACCTCATGCCAGGGCAGCTGGATCCAATGGGGCATCTGCTACATGTTGTTCAGAATCAATCTCCCTTCCTTTATTTTTTTTAAAGGTTTAATTTATTTATTTGAGAGAGCGAGTGGGGGGGAGGGGCAAAAGGAGAGGGAGAGAGGATCTCAAGCAGACTCCGTGCAGAAACCAAGAGTCAGAGTCTCATGTGTCTGCCATGCCCTGTCCTTCCCCTCATAACCCACTGAGCCACCCAGGTGCCCCTCCCCTCTTTTAATTCTTAGTTCATGTATTGAACCCAGACCACTAACCATTTAGCCCTTCCCTTGAGGTGATGCTAATAGGACTAGCCCTAAAGTAAAAAATGAGTGGGTCAATATATGTAAAGAATGTACACTATGTGGTGCCTAGCAAGTTCTCACCGAATGTTATTCTCACTATTATTTTACATGTGAGCCTGCATGTCAAGTGGCAGAAATCTCAGAGATACAGGCTAAGCATATTATTGTTTCCAAAATAATTTCTAGCTCTTATTAGTGCCTTAGAAATAAAATTTGGTCACTCTGTCTTTCCCAGAGAAAAATTGAGTACCGGCAAGAGTACTTTGTCAAGAGTCACATCTTCAGCCTAGGTAGTTATTAAAAGTGAGAATGGATGAGTCAAGATTTCCAATCCTAACAAAGCTATACATGTTATAAATAGGTCTTTTCTAATAGAGGGAGCAAGTCAGGACAAGGCAACTTCAGTGAAGAAAAACTAAAAGAGAAATGGTTGTAAAGAAAAAAACAGTTCTAGCGGTGGTGCATGAGGGAAAGGATCACTTCATGGAGAATAAAGCATGATTACTATGCTATATGTGTTTTCTGTGCTGATACTTTCACATCCAATCCTTCCTGGGCCTGTCTTCCAAACTTCACTCAAGTTTGGTTCCGCACATCTGTGTACATCAAGGACATTCGTGAAGACAGTGTCACCCAGTACGCCGACTACCTCTGCCGTTCCGAAGCATGAAAGGGCCTAGGAGAGGGCAAGTCTCCTCAAAGAAATCTGGGCGGGGGAGCATTTAGGACTACAGTGCTATACTCTCCATGCTGCCTTTGAAGCAAGCCTGTTTTTTTTTTAAATTCACCATCTCAGGTAGCAGGAATGACTTCAACAAAGGGCACTTCCTGAAGATTAACTATTTGGAAGCAGGGAGAATTTTAAAAACTCTCAGCTCCTCCACCTCAGGAAATGCCAGGCCCTTTGAGAGCTATTACTTAAGTGGATCCTGCCACATCATTTCATTCCTAATTAACCCCAAATCCCCACTTTTATCCATGTGCTGAAACCATTGTTTAATTCAAACTTGTATTCTTTTTTTTTTTTTAAGATTTTTTTTTATTTATGTATTTGAGACACAGAGAGAGCGCCAGGGGGAGGGGAAAAAGGAGAGGGAGAAGCAGGCTCCCTGCTGCTGGGGCTCCTGGGACCCTGAGATCAGGACCTGAACCAAAAGCAAACACTTAACCCTTAACCGACTGAGCCACCCAGGCGCCCTAAAACTAGTATTCCAAATTCCTCCCCCCCCAAATCTGTTCTGCATCACGAAGACAGCAGTATTAGTACTGAGAAAACGTGATCTAAATCATGACTTCTCTTTTGAAGAAGCTCTTTTTCTTCACTGGGCCTCTTTATGTGGCACATCATGACAGTTTTCTTTGTAATATTTCACCAGGTTTCGATAATAAAACTGCCTTGGTAACGAAGAAAGTAATACTCTAATCAAGTGTGACTGTGGGTGTCTGCCAGTCAGAAACAAAGAAGAAAGCTCTGGAAAATCACATGAAACTTAATGAGTTGGCTCTGCAGGTAGTTTGCCTGTGTTCCACACTCCCCCCACCCCCGAGTCCCCTGCTGGGAGAACATCATCTTGCCTGTGCCCTGGGTGCCCACACCTGTTGTCCTGTCCTCTCCCCCTGGGGTTCCTGCCTTGCGCCCCCCCTGCAGACTCATGTGTCTGCCATGCCCTGTCCTTCCCCTCTGGCTCCGGCCCAACTGCCCAGCGACAAAGCAGGGATGACTGACAATGGAAGGACCCACGTTTCAGAAGGCGTTTTAAATTCCAGGGAAATGTCTGTGAGCTCTAAAGGCAATGCTAGGGGGCCGGCACCTGATGAGCAGCTAATCACACTCTCGATGCCCTCATGAGAGTGTGTCATCGTAGTGACAGGGTTGAAATAACTAGACTCCCTGGAACCAGAGGGTCAGATCCAGGTAAAATTAGCTCAGCTTTTCATCAGGGTAATGACTATAATCTTTTGCATTCCCTAGAGAGCTTTATAGTCAGGGATCTTAGGGAGAGTTTGCCAACAATTAATCTCAGCAGAGGCCTGTAGGCTTCAGATGGACAATAACACTCACTTACTTCTTTCCAGCCCAAGGTGGGCTCTCACAAAGAGCCGCCTGCAAGGACCATGGCTATCAAACCATAATATTACCAGTAATATCACACCTTTCAATAAATGGTCCTATGGAGGACTCAGTGATCCGTGCTGAGTCCAAGAGTGGAGAAGCACGTAGCAAAGCTGGCCATAATGCAATGCATTCACCAAGAGTGGGAAATGCCCCTTGCCACCAAACTGCCCATCAGTCCCAGTGGGGCTTGAATCCAAACAGAAACTGGGTCTGAGACAGACCTGTCTTCCAAGAAATGTACTATAAGCAGAATACTATTTTAGGTCCAGATAATATTTCCGAGAATACAAAAGAGAGAGAGGGAGAGATCAACAAAACAAAAAGAATAATTCCACAAACATGAGGAAGACAACAATGTTCCCAAGAAAGTTTATAATCAGTAGTTTTCATTTTGCCCAGAAAAGAGGCAGAATCATAAAATCACAAGACTTTAGAGCAAGAAGGGATCTTGGATATCATCTAGACCAATTTCCTCATTTCACAAGAAAAGATGTAGACTAGTTTTTTTTTTTCCCACCATCACTCAGCCAATTAAGAATAGGTTTCCACTGAAGGGGAAGGAGCCAGGTTGAGCCAGGGCATAGGGCACTTCCTGAGGAGGGGCGGGCTCTGTGGGATTCCCCATGACCAAACTGGACACAAGTGGCAAGATGCTGAAAGGGAAATAAGAATGTTGGAAGGACAGATAGAAGGAAACCAAAACCAACACCGCTGTACATTCCAGAATCTCCTAGACTTACCTTGAACCCAACCCTGAAAGCTTGCAAACAAAAATGAGGATCTTGAGTCTAAAACAAATTCAACAAATTATAATCCAATGTCAGATAAAATTGCCACATGCATTTCTGGAAGCCTTGATGGTACTCCTGTGAAACATGGCAATAAACACGTGTCTTTTGCCAAATATAGACTATGCTCTATGTTCCCTCATAATAATGTTAAATAAGACATGAATGAAGAGAGGTAATTAATGACACCAGGAAGCAGGGTCCTACAAACTTCCATTTGAAGTTAGGACAGTAAAATACATAATTAAAAATATGTACTTTTGACAATTAAAGAGGACCATTTCTCAAACTCTCTGACAATGCTATAGTCTCACACCGCTTCTAAAAATTCCTCTCACAGTTGCTACTATAGAAGTTTACGTTCTGCACTATTCTTAGCTCTCAGCTAGGTCTCCAGCAGTTGGAGAATTTGGGGAGTCCTCAACGCCAAATTCCAAGGCATGAAGCTCATACCACCCCTTCAAACTTCTCTTTTTAGAGTAAATGCGTGATTTTAGGTTTTAGTTATCAAAAGAACGCTGCTTTTAAATATAATGTAGCTTAAAACAAAGATTTTTCTATAGCAAACTCTTAAAATAACCATTTCAAGGAAAGCTTATAATAGGGTAGCAATAGGGGTGATAAATAAAAGTATATATATATATGTATATATACATACATATATGTATATATATCTTTTTAATAAACGGTATTTTTAAAATAAGCATCAGATTTAATATATGGTTCTAGTACCAAACTTTCGAAGAAAATTGATATTTCACACAATAAAGCCATTTGATCAATAAATTTAATAGATGATATTGAATGCATTTCTCAATTTCTCAGATCACTTCATTGATCAAATATTTATTGAGCACCTACTGTGAGCCAGCACTGAATGGTTGTGGATAAAACAAAAATTCCAGATTCCATGGAACGTACATTCTTGCGGAAAGAAACAGACAACAAAAAATAATCATTAAAAAAAAAAAGAAATTATATAGTGTATTAGAAGGTGCAAACACCATGCAAAAACAGAACAGGTAAGAAGATCAGGGCAGAGATGCTATACAATTTTAAAAAGGGTGGCCTAGTGTACCTCTTTGAGAAAGGGACGTACAAAAAGATTTATAGCAAGTGAGGGAGCTAGTCTTGTATGTATCCAGGGGAAGAGAATTCCAGGAAGTGCCCTGTGCAAAGGCCCTGAGGTAGTGCACATCGGCTTGTGTGAGTAGAAGGGAAAGTATTACAGAAGATGAGATCAGAAATGAATAGGGGCCCAATTCATACAGGAATTTGTAGGCCATTGTTAGTATTTTGGCTTTTATACTGAGAGTTTTATGCAGAGGACTGACATGATCTGACTTATGCTTTACGAGGATCAATCCTTATTGAAACAAATGGTAAGGAGCAAGGATGGAAGCAGGGAGACTAATTAGGAGTGAGAGACAATCATGGGCTTTCACCAGGGTGTTAATAGTAGAGATGATGAGAATTGATCAGATAAAGCATGCAATTTAAAGGCAGAGCAAATGAGATCTTCTGACTAATTGGATGTGGGGCAAGAGAGAAAGAGAAGATGAGAGATCGCTCTAGGAATTTGGCCCTGAGAAGTTAAAAGGGTGGTTTTGCCATCAGTGAGATGGAGACAAATGCAGGGGTGAAGATCAGACGCTCCATTCTGGATATATTGTGGGAGACATGGATTAGCTCTTCTAGTGGAGATTTCAACAAGGCAGTGGATAAAGGCAACTGCTTCAAAGAATTTTGCTGTAAAAGAAAACCAAAAAATGGGGTGGTGACTGGCAGGAATGGTAGAGTCAGTAGGAAGCTCTGGTTTTCATTATTCGTTTTAAGATAGGAAATAGAATAATTGTATATTGATAACAAAGTTCTAAGAAAGGGAAAAATTGATGAAGCAGGAGAGAGGGGAGAATTGCTCCATCAATGACCTTTAGTAGGTAGGAAAGCATGGTTGCAGATGGAGAATTATCTTTCAGTTGTGATTAAGAATGATGGAGGAGGTATTTGAAGTTTGAGGAGAGATGTGAAAAAAATTAACTAGAAATGTGGGCAAGTCAAGAGAATAGAGAAACATCATTTTCAGGCAGCATTAAGGATAAAGCATAGAGCTTTGGAGGCTCACTTGAAGGTAGTCACTAATTTACAATAGGATAAATTTGGACAAATTATACAGTCAGGCACGATTGTCTGTTTTCCTCTAGTCCTAGGCAGATTCATTTAGGTGTGTAGTAGACAGAGAGAGAGAGAAATAGTGGCTTGAGCAAGGAATAACACCGATGCCAAAAACAGGCAAGGAAATTGGGGGTATATGCAAGGGAGTAACTATACTGACTGCACATGGAATTTAAGCTTGGTCAGGATGGAAAAGAGGACATCAGAAAGGTGACAGTGACAAGGTAGTAGGATCAATGGGTTGGAAATCTGGGTGGGATCAAATTGTTAGAATCATGATTCTAGAAGGAGTGAGCTACAAAATAGAAAGTGATTGTCAGAGAGTAGGAAGAGATTGTGAAGACATTGCAATTATGAGTAATGACAAAATTCAGAGTGACAATCTTTTTATTTACCCAAGGAAAATCACTATAGAGAAAGAAAATATAATGTGACCAGAAGAAAATGAAAAGGGGGCTACACACACAACTGTTGAAAGGATCAACAGCTTCTCAAAAGTGACTGCTACATTGCTTCTTTGGGAATTTTGTGGGTGTAGAGAAAACAGTGACAGGGCAGCAACCAGTGTTAGAAAGGGCACTGGGAAGACTTCATTCCTCACAAAGAACTATCTGCAATTATTTCACCAATTTAAAGTTCATTTGAGTTCTAACATTCCTCTCCTAAAATGCATGTAGTACATCAGTCATCTACACCTCAGTATGAATTCTGATAATTAGATCGTTCTAATATTCTCCAGTCTCTGAACTTAGATTTGAGCAAGTGCAAATTCCAAGTAAAGAAATGAAACTATAGAATAAGTAACTTAGAGTGATGTTCACATCAGCATTATTCATAAGAGCCAAGAAGTGGAAACAACCAAGTGTCCACCAACTGATGAATAGATAAATACGATATGGTATATCCAAGCAGTGGAATATGACTTGGCCATAAAAAGAGCTGAAGTTCTGATATATGCTACAACTTGGATGAACCTTAAAAACATTACACTAGCCCCGCATCGGGCTCCCTGCTCGGCAGGGAGTCTGCTTCTCCCTCTGACCCTCCTCCCTCTCATGCTCTCTCTATCTCATTCTTCTCAAATAAATAGATAAAATCTTTAAAAAAAAAAAAAAAACCATTACACTGAAGGGGCACCTGGGTGGCTCGGTTGGTTAAGTGTCTGACTTTGGCTCAGGTCGTGATCTCAGGGTCCTGGGATCAAGCCCCCTTGAGCCCCATAGGGTTCTGCACTCAGCAGGGAATCTGCTTCTCCCTCTCCCTCAAGCTCCTCTCCCCATTCATGTGCTCTCTCTCTCTCAAATAAATAAATAAAATCTTTAAAAATAAACAACATTACACGGAATAAAAGAAGTCAGAAACAAAAAGCTGTATATTGTATGATTCCATTTATATGAAATGTTCAGAAGAGACAAATCTAGAGACAGAAAATAGATTAGTGGTTGCCTAGTGTTATGGGTACAGGGAGATTGGGAGTGATGGCTAAGGGGTGTGGGTTTCTTTTTTGGAATAATAAATATGTTCTAAAATTGATTGTCATGATGAATGCACAACTCTAAATCTACTAAAAAGCCACTTTCATGAGTGCATTGTATGGTATGCAAATTATGTCTCAATATAGCCATTTAAAAAAAAAAAAAAGAAGCTTTGCGTGAGTTTGGGTGAGCTTTGGACAGCTGCAGGACAGCATTAAAATAGACTACAGGAAAGAAGAATTTGGAAAACATTGAAAGAAGCTTTATCTTTCCTGAAATTTGACCTGAGCCCTGCTGTTAAGTCATCCACCATGGTGCCTCTTAAATCCGTTCCATCACTGTCTTGGGGCTGATTGCCCAAGGTTGCCCAGGCCTTCCCAGCAGAAATATGCACAAAACAAACTAACCTAGGAGAGTTTTCAGAGCACAGTGTTTAGAGTTCAGTTTCTAAATTCAAGCAGAAAAGGATTCAATCCTCACTCTGCGGTAGGCTGTGTGTGTGTGACTTGGCGCAAAGTCTCCTTACCACTCTTGGTCTCCATTCCCAATGGAAATAACAATAGTATCTATCTTATCGTGCTGTTTTAAGACTTAAGTCAGGTGAGAAAGCAATAGCACTTATTAAAGTAGCTGGCACATAATAACTGCTTAATAATCATAAAACTTCAGAAATGTAAAGAGAGGTGGTGAGAGATTCCAACAAATAGTAAGGGGTACGCTCCAGCACACCACATTTATGCCCTTCTGGGCCAGGCAAATCAGAAAAAAAAGACGTGTTCAAGAGAAGTATGTGTTCCCTCTTTCCTCTCTCCTACCCCGCACTTCCTCATTGACAAATATTCCTGTCTTTGGGTAAAATCTATTCTTCCATAAAAAAGAAATAATGACAGGGGTAGCTACATTTCCACCCAAATACTCAGGCCCAATGCAAAAGAACTGCTCTATCATCACCTTTTGTGAAAGAATCAGGCCCAACGTCATCAAATGGCTTTCCTAAACCTCTAAGTAAAATTCTCCAAAAATATATTTTATACCTTTGACATTAAGAATTAAATGAGAATTGGGGCAGCTGGGTGGCTCAGTTGATTAAGCATCTGACTCTTGATTTTGGCTCAGGTCATGATCTCGGGGTCAGGGGATCAAGCCCCACGTTGGCCTCTGCTCTGGCCTTGAGCCTACTTAAGATTCTCTCTCTCCCTCTGCCCCCTCCCCTACCCTCTACTCTCTCTTGCTCTCTCTCTCTCTCAAAAAAAAGAATTAAATAAGAATTTACTACCAGATGATTAAAACACTTTCTGAACTTGTAGATCTCATATTTTAGTGGGCATATAGATCTCCAAATACATTTGAAATTACAACTTATTAAGTGGTATAATAAAAGTATTATGGGCTATGGTGCCACATGAGAGGAAAATTAGCTCTATCAATCTAGGAAGGCTCTCTTCAGAGAGGAGGTGTCCTTGGCTCCTCTCCCTAATGTCTCCTGAAGCATCACAGGAGAGGCCATGAGGACAACACTGGACTGATACGCACCAACAAGACAAGGCATCACTAACTGGTACATCAATAGCTCACTACCTATCAAGTAGAACCTATCACTCTTGAAACATTTGCCCCAGAATCCAATTACCCATGTAGCTGGTCCAAATACATAAAGAAGGAAGGTTAAGCAAGTTGGCTTAACAATGAGGACACTGGGTGGGATACATTTTCTGAGGGGGCTGGTGGCTCTACCATAGTTAGAAATTAGCCAAATTACTTCTCTTTTCACATAGCTAAATTCTGAAAAGACCAAGATAACTTGTTTGGTAACTTCTTTGGAAAGCCATCAAAAAGATATAACTCCCATGCCAACAATGTTGGGATAGGTTTAAATATACAGAATTCCTAAAAGCAAAGTCACTTTTCGTTGGTGAAAAAAAAAATCTATTATGTCTCTATGCTTGCTTATAGCTGAAGTCCGGCTATTAAAGTCATGAGGCTTTTTTTTTTTTTTTTAACAAGTATTACCCATTACCTGGAGGCAGTTTTCCCTAATTGTGAGATATTTACTGTAATTCTTAAAAAGAAACAAAATCTTCCCAGGTTCAACTTGCAAGTCTATTAAATGCTTATATAGCAACCACAAAAAGGTTTGGCTATTTTGGAAAGAGCAAAGAAAAGCCAAAAAGGTATTCAGCTAAGTTTCATAGGTCCAGAACTGTGAAAAGAGAAATCCACTTCAGAAAGATCCATGAGCTTGGAATAATGCAAATATCATCTCCTCGGAGAGGTCTTCCTTGACTGCTCAGTCTATATTAGCTCATCACCTACCACCACCACCACCCCAACCAGTAACTCTACTGAAAACCCTGCTTTCTTTTCTCTATAGCACTTAACACTAGCTAAAACTGTGCTTATGTGTTTGTTTTTCTCATGCCTGTTTTCCACTACTGAAATCTAAGGCCCAAGAGAGCAGAACAGCATGCATGCTGCTCAGAACCCTATCACCAACCCCATGTACAGAGCCTGGTTCATGGTAAGTACACACCAAATACTGGTTGAATGCATGAATTCAACCATGCCACAACAATCATTTCTTTAAGGTGGATGGCATTGAAAAAGGTTCACACTGTGAGCAGAGTTTTAGATCTCAAGAGGCTTTCAGTTATCATTTGATTCCCAGCAACATGTGTGAAACCAAGATCTTCTTTGTCACTCCAAGTGATTCATCCTTTCCAACTAACCACATAGGCACTACCACAACACCAACTGGCACACAGGTGATAAAGTGGAATGTGATTCCCACAATGGGCCTACTGATTTCAGGCTAGTTCTTTAGGGGAAGGATCACTTGTCACATGAGTTGGCCACTCAGCAAAGCATGAATGCTTAAGCTCACATTCCATTTAGACTATGGGAAGTGTTTTCACTGCTAACTATACCATTCAGATTGACCTAAACACTTTGAGAGGTGGTAGATTAGTAAACATACTTAAACTCATTTAGTTATATTTTACCAAGAATTACAATTCCAAGGTTAAAAGGAAGAGAGGGACAAGGTGGACTTCATTCAGGGAGTGAGGAAACAGGTAATAACCAAGAGCTCTGTGCACAATTAGATACGAGAAAAAAATAAAACTGGCCATGATATGGAATTAATTATGCATGTTGCTAGAATTTTGGCTACAAGCTCCAAATGTGTTATCACTCCTTGGTTTGGCAGAAAGAACCGAGAGCTATGGGCAGAGAAAAGTCAAAAAACAGCATGATATTGTTGTGGGAAACAAAGACTCTCAGCTCTTATTTTAATACCTTATCAAAATGACTTTAGAAAAATCCAGGTTTTTTTCAAAAAAAATTCTGTAGTGTGTTGAATTTACATTTTGAAATTGGATAAGCCATTGTGTGCTGAGAGCTCTTCCCCAGGCCACATCAGTCCTAGAGAGCAGGGATATAGTAGCAGTTGCAATAATCTTTGACTCTTGAGCTTTGAGTCTGTGAGGGCACTCCATTCCTAAAAGTCCAATCTTTGCCCATTCTCATTGACCTGAGGGGGCTCCACACACTCTGTGTCCTTTGTTGGAATTTTCTGCTCTTCCTTTGGTGGTCTCTTCTATAGAGCAGCTCCTCTCCTCCCTGTTCCCTGTTCTTTACTCTCCTCTCTGCTCTTTAGAGTTTCTTAATTAGACCCCTAATGGCACCATAGGCTGTTGGTTTTTACAGCGCTTACTCAGGATCTGAGATCAGGTTTCTTCTCATTCAGGTCCAAGACAGTTGGGTCCTACACCCAAAAGTTCTCCTCCCCGACAATAATTAATCAGCCTCCTAAATGGAGGTACAAGTTTTTTCAACAGTCTCCTATGCCAAGGTGAGTTTCCTGATTACTCAGGGTGTTTCTAGTATTTTCTGGAGCCCCAGACCAAAGAACTGATTCCTCAGTTATCTCCCTATTTCCCCTAGGAGCCCACATGTAAATGCCCTGATAGCACAGCATTCTCAAGGATTAGTATATCCCAGACTTCCTCTTACCTTGCCCTCTACCATTATTCTCTTGTCAAGGTAAAACTCTACTGTGGTGTGAATTTGGTGCCTTTGAAGTGAATGGAAGTGAGAAATTTAAAAGCTCAGCTTAGCAGTCAAAGCTCTTCTTTGTTTACTGCAGAATCTTACCTGAAGTAGAGAAACACCATACTGAAGAAAGAGAGAAGAAAGAAAGAAAGAAAGAAAGAAAGAAAGAAAGAAAGAAAGAAAGAAAGAAAGAAAGAAAGAAAGAAAGAAAGAAAGGAAGGAAGGAAGAAAGAAAGAAGAAAGAAAAGAAAGAAAGAAAGAAAGAAAGAAAGAAAGAAAGAAAGAAAGAAAGAAAGAAAGAAAGAAAGAAAGAAAGAAGAAAGAAAGAGAAAACTGAAATCAGTGGTTTGGACTACAGTAAATAAAGGGGAAAAAAACTGACTGTGAATCAGCTAACATTTAGGACTTCTCTGTAGGAGTTGGATATTTCTCCTAGAGAGGTCAGCGGCTGCCATGTAATATCTATTCAATCAGCTAGAACATTTTGCTCTTTAGTATAATGAAGCTTGTAAATAAAGCTAAGCTCTGAGTTGGTTCCCAATGGGAAGATCATACAGTTTGCTTTGGTGGAATGTCAAGACGTAAGGGGAAAAAGTGATCATCAATAAACAAATGCACAGAACTGAATCATTACATTCTTTTTTGTAGACAAACGCTTCTTTATTTTGAGCCCTATGTTAAGAAGTCACTGCTTCTCCTCTTTATAAATAACTTGGCATTTGGGGGCTATCATTTCTAATGGCCTATAAGAACCTCTCTGTACATTTCCCCCACAGTGTACCCATTGCATACCATTTGTTTGCATTCCATTTGTCAGCATGTGTATCCGTACTTGGTAGAATTTGGGGGAAGGGAGAGAAGATCCAGCAGTCACAGAAAACTCAACAAAAAAATTAAAGTGTTTACACTGCTGTGTTGGAAGTGAGTACACTGCCTTCAATAACTCCAGGAAACCTAATACTTACTCCATTCAGCCTTCATAAAATCCATTTTCTTCCTTCCTCACATGCACAGATTTGGCAAATTCGAAGAAAGGAAAATAGATCTGCCCCACACCCTAAAAGGATGTGATTTTTATTTCATTTATATCAATTTCTAAAAGATACGTAAATAAAGGAGGGGTATAAGAATAGAGCTTGATTAAAATCAAATGTCAAATGGGCCAACCATAGTAAGTTAATAAAGCCTTGAACAAAATTAACCAGAGATAGTCATCTGGCTTGACCTTTCTTTTCCAACTGAATTAGGGTTTTTCTCCTATTCAGGACTGCCTTTAGAGGGCTGATTACTATTGTGGTACCATAATGGCTTAGATTTCATTTTTAAGAATGCCAAGGTCCTTGAGGAACTCCAGAGACTGCCCTTTGGAATTTCATTTAACAAACAAAACAAACAAACAAAAACCAGAAACAAACTCATAAATACAGAGAACAAACTGGTGGTTGCCAGAGGTGTGGGTGAAATATGTGAAGGGGATTAAGAGGTACAAACTTCCACTTATAAAATAAATAAGTCCCAAAGATGGAAAGTACAGCATAGGGAATATAGTCAGTAACATTTTAATAACGTATCGTGGCAGATGGTGACTACGCTTATCGCGGTGAGCACTGAGTAATGTATGAAACTGTTGAATCACTGTGTTGTACATCTGAAATAATGCAACATTCAATGTCAGCTATACTTCAATAATAAAAATTTAAAAATTTAAAATTTAAAAAGAAGGAAACATTCACTTAAATTGTTTTTAAATTTCTCTCCTGAAAATATTTTTGTATTACGAGATTTTAAATTAGATATGCACAAAGGAATAATTTTGTTGTTGAGGTTTTTTTTTTTAAAGAGGGGTAATGGGGAACTGATGTGGGAATGTGGGTGTAAAGTGGCAGCTATCTCTCACTATTTGCACAATACTCGACCTTCAGATTTCACAGGAAGTCAGGATTCAAGAACCTCCGGCTCTAAGGGAGTTCCTACAGATCTGTTTGTGGCAACTGTAATTCTTGGAACTTAGTGTTCTCCTAAATTCCCACCCCACCCACACCACTGCATGACTACATAATGCAATTCTTTCAGTCTTTGCCCTGGGCACACATGAAACAATCTAACTCCTACAGTTAGAATCTCACCCAAAGGAGAGGAGAGGGGAGAGGGGGGAGAGGAGACAGGAAGATCCAATGATGAAATAATAAAGATTTTTTTCATACTATGCTAAAACTGAGTCAAACTTCCAAATGAAAATGTTTGGGCTTTTTGGTTTGGTTTTGTTTAGGTTCCTTCTTAGAGATCTCTCTAAGGCATGCAATAATCACCGGCCCTTACAAAGCAGCCATCTCTCCAAAGAGAGATCCATGAAATATTTTAGAAGTAAACTTTGAGTTGGCATCTTTCAAAACACTTATTTCCAAAAATCTTCAGGCTAGAATTACAATTGTCTGGAATCCAATCTGTCGCTGAACAAAACCTCAGGCCCTTCATTCGTAATAGTGAAGTAGACTGAGGGCAGACGCACTGACAGCTGGCTCATTTCTTGCTTTGCCATGTAAATCCACTTTCACATAACTGGCTTGCACCCTAATTTTCAGAGTGATGGCTCTGCCTAGAAGCCAACCTAATTGGATAAGCTTATAGCATATTTCCATAATGACAAAGAATCAGATCAAGCCTTCTAAAATTTCTAGAGTCAGTCTAGTGGAAATACTGCTGGACAGAGAATGTTACCATTTAATGAATTGGATCCCTGTCCATCTCTGCCTCAGTTTCCCATGTTGGAAAAGAACACATCTGATGGCTTCTTGGTTCACAGAGAAGAATGAGATCCTGGTCTTTCTCCCAAACAAGTCAATTACAGTATTAGGTTATATGTGTAGAAAGATGCATTCAGCAAATGTGAAAGCACTGAAAGAATAATGTGCCTACAAGATTTAATAGACTTTCTAAGAACTTGGTTTGCACAATAAGATAATTAAGTAGTAACAATAATAATAATAATTAGTTGCTATTTATTACATAATCATTATGCTCCATGACCAACTTTACCTAAAGATTCACTTAACCTTAATCAAAAAATCTTATGGAAACTATTATTACTATCAGTTTTACACCCAAAAAACAGACTCTCTGAGATAGTAAGTGATTTTTCCAAGTTCCCTCACCTAGTAAGTGGAAAGACTAGAAAATAAGACCATGTCTCTCTGACTCCAAATCCACCTACATTTATTCACTTTCTAATGGCAGAGAATTAAGATTTTGATGTATGTGAATTAGTTAAGGATCATTAATAAATATACATAGACAAATTTATTTATAATACGTGTATACATACGAATACGTATGTATAGTCTTTGAACACCAAATACCTTATATAACAAACTGGGATTTACAAGCCTGTATATAGACAATTTGTCAAGTATGTCATTCCATCAGCCATTGGGGAATCTGCCCCTGAGGAGACTATTCAGTTTGTCTTTGACCGTCTAGAAAATCAGGAGCTGTGACTGTACAATTTGTCTTTTGCTTCCCCACCCCCTACCCTGACTCGACCTTTGGGTTAATTAACTCCTAATTGTCCAAATATAAAACACTCCGCTCAGCTGTCCCCTCTGCTAGAATGACTTGGCTGAACTCTGGCCTCCCCTCTGCCCTGAATGCCTTTGGTGACCTAGCACTTTTCACACAGTGTTTACTTGTCTTCTGTTTACGTCCTGTCTTTTCCACTAAAAAGAGTTCATTGTCTTATTCATCTGTCTCTAGCACATAGCACGATGTTGGTTACATAGTCTGTAGATGTTTAACCAGTGTGATATATGGATAGATGAACAAACTCTCAGAACCCAGAATACCTAAGCCTCCAATTAGTAGTGATATGGCTCTAAAATTCCATATCCAATTTCCAAATCCTGTGATGACCAAATGGTTCTTTGAAACCTCTTAGGGAATACAGGTATTTGAGATCTAAATATTACAACCCGAAATACCCATGTCTAAATGCGGAAGTCTAGTTGACCTATGAGTCAATGACTCCTTTCTGGGGAAGATAGCCTCTTGATGATCAGTTTCAACTTCTCTCTTTGCATTTATGATCCCAATACAGATAAAAGGGCATTTATTTTGCTATACCAACAAAAACTGACATTGAAACTTATGGAGGAAGTAAAAAGAAAATGCAAAATTTCAGTGAACTGAAGGAACCCCATTCAATATTTCCTTGTGCAAGTCTAAGACAAAAATTTTCAAGTGGTCAAATGCTAAAACTTAAAATCGGTTACTCTTTAAACTAAAATCCCAAACTCGAAGAGAAAAAAAGAAAAAACAGTTTTTCGAAACAAAAAGCAAAGAAAGCTCAAACTTCTCAAGTTCAAAAAGCAGCTGAGTACGCAAAGAAGCACCCTGGACCATTCAGACATCCAGTTTTGTATGGGCTAGCACATTTTGTGGAGTCCTTTCAAGGTAGTTTTGACTTCGGGAACATTTCTAGGTCCAAATATTTTAAACATTCCATTTAATCCACTGGCTAAAAGTAAAGCATCAAGCCAAGGCATCACAGGGGAACAACATTTTTTAGAACACCGCAACCTGAAAACAATACTGAGGGAAGGGCTGCTTCCTTATGCTGCGAACAACGGAAGGAAAGTGAGTAAGGCCAGCGGTCCTCACCAAAGGCTCTGATTCAAAACAACACTTAAAGTTCAACCCCAATGATCCTTTTCATCCCCTCTGTGGTACACACTGCACAAAGACATGAGTACCACAAGGTTTATACATGGGAGTGGTAAATTGGCAGAGAACTCATTGTGCTGGGGCATCTACAGGCCTTGATCTTGGTGGGATGATAATTACAGACTGTTTAGTCGCTTGCTTTTCCCTGGCTTACAGTAATGCTAATACTTTACATGATACCAATTATTTTCATGTCCATTTGTAAACTGAGGCAGAGAAAATGAAAAGATCCCAAATACAGTAAATATTAACTTTTCATGTGCGTGAGAGGGGAAATAAATTACAAAACATTTTCCTTGTGTTTGATGGAGGCTTTGGGGGGATCATTTTGCTACAGGTGTTTGGTTTGTTAATAGGTTATTTTTTATCTGTGGCTATTTTTGATAGGCTACTGGGTAACTTGAGGCCATGTTCAGAAAACAGCTGTCTCCTTCATCCCCAAAAGTCCAACAATTGGACAAGTTAAATATTCTTTCCCCTAAATCAGTTGTTTGCATTCTAGGAGTCTCAACCTGAAAGAGCTGTGTGATGTTCAAAGAGAAAGCAACATGCTTAACACTCTTCAACTATCTGTTAGTAGAATTTTGTTTGTACTGATGTACCCCTGCAATACTTTACTTACAGAAAAGTCATAGTGCATTTTTAGACAAATTCCCAAGGAAAAATGGTTATACACTATGTCCAGTCTTAAAAAATCAATTCCACAAATCAAAATTATCAAATTTGCTTGTCACACAGAATGCATTATTCTAGGCATGCAAAGATATACGTGGTTAAACTTCATGCCATGAGGTCTATGACAACCAAGGAAAAGTAGAGGTAGGATGATATAATGGACTGAGATGTAGCTTTGGGACTAGACACTCTTAGAATTAAATCCTGGTTTCACTGCTTACTGGATGCAGAACCCC